TTAGTTTTTCCTTCTCTTTCAAGAAGGATCGGCAACTGGGTTTTAAGTGATCACCAGTAGGCTCCCACCTCTCTTTTACCAACTAAAAGCTTAGTGATTTATTAACATTGTCATATATTCCAACAACCTATTTAGATCAAATTAAATATACCATAAAAGTATGCAGAACATCAAAAGGGAAAAGTCCTATCAAGCTAAAGTAGCCAACACCAAATCAATGTTTTCCTTAGATGCAGCTTTTTATCTCTGTGGCAATGCTCAGATGAATGATGTGACAAATGAAAGGTTATGAAGACTCACTGTGTAATCCTTTGCCTGCAGCTATTACAATAAAGAGAAAGGTGTGAAAAAGCAAGAGAAACTAAAGAGTCATCTTCATCCATTCAAGTAAGTAACTAACTCCCTGTTGTTCACACTTGCTGGGAGGTGAGGACGCCCATGGGAGGCCAGGGGAATGCTTGGGTTCTAACTGGTGTTGCTTTGGAAGTGGAGTAGAAGGGTAGACAGCTCAAGAGGTGAAGATAAAGCTCCCCCTGCCGAGGGATGGCGGCGGGGCTTTTGGAGCTCCTTAGAGCAACGTCAGAGTTCTACTCGGATTCTGCCTATGCATTTCACCACCTGCATGAAACAAGCATAGCTTTGTGTTGCTCTGCTACTCAGCAGGTTTCTAGGGAACTTCCAGATTTAAAAAGACGAGGACGAAAGGGCTGGACATTTAACACTCAGCCAGTGACAGCTCTATGAATCCTAACTTTCTGACCCTGTTATGCACGGTGTTGCCACGAATCGGAGCCAGTCCAGCAACAATACAAGATAAACTGGACTGTATCGTATTCAGCGCAGATCAACCAAGAGATGTGGACTCTTGATTAGAGCAGTTTGGGGTTTTTTAATTTTAACTTTAAAAAAATCATTTTATTGAGGGCTCTTACAGCTCTTACCACAATCCATACATGCATCCATTGTGTCAAGCACATTTATATATCTATGTTGCCATTGCCATCATCATTTTCAAAACATTTTCTTTCTACTTGAGCCCTTTTCCCCCCTCCCCAACGCTCCACCCTCATGAACCCTTGACAATTTATAAGTTTTTTTTCATGTCTTACACTGACCGCTGCCTCCCTTTGCCCACTTTTCTGTTGTCCACCCCCCTGGGAGAGGGTTATATGTAAATCATTGTGATCCGTTCCCTCTTTCTCCTTACCCTCCTGATATCGCTAGTCTCCTTAGTGGTCCTGAGGGGTTTGTCTGTCCTAGATTCCCAGTGTTTCAAGCTCTTATTTGTACCAGTGGACATGTGATTAAAGCAGTTTTATAGAGCAGGGTGCAATCATGTAATTCTAAAAGTTATAAGAAGTCTACATATTTTTAAGTAACTTTAAATTTTGCATATGAAAGAAATTTTGTTTTTGAGTGTCAACAAAGTGTGAGTCCCTTTATGGAAACCTAAGATTTAAAAAAAGAAAAAGGAACACATTTTCAAGCCTATATTTGAAGAATTTAGAATTTTAAAAACCACCTAATCCAAGCTATCTAATGCAACCAATTTTGGGCCTTATGACTGATCAGAACCCAATCACTGGAAAGTTAGATTTGTTCAAGGGCTGTCATTAGTGGGATCCACTCACCTGGACATGTATTGCCATCAGTGTTTAAATGTAAGTGAGAGAGAAAACTGTTACCTTTTGAAAGCTTAATGAGGTTCTAAGAGAGATGTCATGTAATGAGGTTTTTTTCACCCCTGCTGGTAGTATTTTGAGGAGCTTGGGTGGTGTAATAGGCTATGCTTTGGGCTGTTCAGCAAGATTAGCAGTTCAAACCTCTCAGCTAGTCCTCGGGAGAAAGACGAAGCTTTCTGTCCTTGTAAAGATTTACAGCCTTGGTAACCCCAAGGGGCCATCAGACGCTGTCCTGTACGGTCACGAGGAGTCGGAACTAACAATAGCTGGGGTGCTGGGGTGCTTGGATATTAATCATCATGAATCCAAAGATGCGTGTGAGATTGATAGCCACCACCTTAGGTTCCACTAAGAAAGTACCTCCTGACCATTTGAAAAAAAAGAGAGAAACAAAACTCTCTTCTCTGGAAAGGGAGGCCGCGCAAGAAGTCGACAGTAAGCTCCGGCTTTTCAAGGAGAGCCGGAGGAGGAGGAAGGAGAGGAAGGAGAAGAAGCGGCAGCGGAAAGGGGAGGAGTGCAGCCTTCCCGGCCTCACCTGCTTCACACACGACAACAACCACTGGCAGACGGCCCCCTTCTGGAACTGTAAGTGTTCCCTCCACGCGCCACAGGTTCAAAGGCATGCATAACCCCTGGGATCCAGAGAGCTGCAAGAGGAAAGCGTTCTAGGATGATGGACGCTAGTCAATCCTGGGGTTTTGCCCCAGATTCCCTTTTTTCTTCAGGGTTCCTTGTGTTTGAAAGGCCAGGCCTCTCCCGGATGTAGTTTCACAGAGTGCTCAGCCCCCGGCAGAGTTCCTACTCTGCGCAGCTGCCCTCCATCCACTAGGTGACCAAATCTTCCCCAAGTGTATTTTGTCTCTGCGTATGTCAAGTGCACACTCTAAGTGCAATAGAAAAAGGAGGAAAGGTCTAGAAATCTATTTCTGAAACATGAGCTGCTGGAAATCCCATGGCGCACGGTTCTATTCTGATACCACACGGCTTCCCCAGTCAGTTGACTCGATGACCACAGATTGATTGGTTAGCTTTTGTTAAGTTAAAAAGCAGCATGCTTAAGCTAGTCCCCCCAACCCCACACACACACACACAAAGGGGGGGGGGGACAGGTCTCTCCCTCTGGGAGGACTTCCTCTCATGCTCATATACTGTAGCCATTTGGCTTCTCTCTATACTTCAAGCATCTCCTGCTCCTTCCTGCCTCAGGGTTTGGCATATGTTCTTCTCTCTGCCTGGAGGGCTGTCGCCCCGACACTCACATGCAACCCTATGCCTATCACAGATTTAAACCCCACCTAGTCCCACTTGCTATCCAACGACAACATCACTCTCACTGCCATCTGCAACCCTGGAGAGTCCCCTGTCCCCTGATGTGCTTTCAGCATGCTCTACTCTTTCTCCACAGACTTTCCCACATTTCATTTTAGCTAAACATCTGTCTCCCCTAAGTTTCTCCAGGTAAGGGACCACGTCTCTGATGCTATGTCCTTGGCACCCAGTGACATGCAATAATGATTATTAGAAGCACACACTGCTGTGTTATCCAATGGACCTTTGTGGGGTGCTAACGATGTTCAGGGTCATAGCTCAGCTCGTGTCAAAGTGTTGTAGACGACCCGTGATGAGTATAGATTACATGTACCTAGCTGTGACCAAGCCTACTCCATTCCACTCCACACTGGGATCCCGTCTTTCTGTGTTCCAGTCATGACACACAGAATAAGCAAAAGCACCAATCACATCCTTATCCTCAGTAACCATTTCTTTCTTTTGTCAAGAAAAGCTTTCTTTATTGTGAATTGTTTACAGACCAAGTCAGCTTTCCATTCAACGATTCACACCCACTTTGTGTCATGACATTGATGGCAATCCCCACAATATAACATCACTTATCCCGCTTCCCCCGTGTTTCCTGTCTGCATGCCTCATCCTTTCCTAACTCTGTGGGGCTTTGTTCATGCGTACATGCTGCCCCTTTGATTTCCTTTTGTCAAAATGGAGACAGGGCCATAAATAGACGTTCCAGTGTGTTTTTCCCCTTGCTGCACTCACTCGCCTCACTCTGGAGACCATTCCAGAGAGAGCTCAGGAGAGCAGCCGCATGCTGACACTTCCCCTTCACCACATGATCCCTGTCATGGTCACCATTCTACCCCCACTTTCACCTAGTTTCATAACAAATCTGTGTTGAGTGGGATAAAGATTACAGACATCTTTAACATTGAATCGTGTTATTTATAAGAAAGAAGTTATGTGCCTTACAGTTTAAAGAATGATAATGAAATATTGGAGATGAGAGCCTAACATTGTTGTTTTCATTCTTTTTTTTATTGTTTTTTCTTTTTCCCCTAATAGTGGGCTCTTTCTGTGCCTGCACAAGTTCTAACAATAACACCTACTGGTGTTTGCGTACAGTTAATGAGACGCATAATTTTCTTTTCTGCGAGTTTGCTACTGGCTTTTTGGAGTATTTTGATATGAACACAGATCCTTACCAGGTAAGACAATATGTAAACATATTTTGGGGGGAATTTTTCAAAGTAGGATTACCTAGAAATAATCTTAAATGGGTTTTCTAACCTCATCTGCAGCTCACAAATACAGTCCACACAGTAGAACGGGGCATTCTGAACCAGCTACACGTGCAGTTGATGGAGCTCAGAAGCTGTCAAGGTTATAAGCAGTGCAACCCAAGACCTAAAAGCCTTGAAGTTGGTAAGAGAGAGAAAAAAATTGGGGGC